TGTTTCAAGAGATATTTCTTTTACCTGGTGGACAGCCTAATGCATAGTTGTCCAATCTGAAACCAAGGAGCCCATCACACAGGGAATTTGTTTATATTGGCAGATGCCCTTGTGGCTTTTATCTGACCCATGTCCACTTTATGCCTGCTTGACCATGCCTGCTTGACCATCACTCTGGTGCTGGGAGCCCAACCTTGTTTTCTTCTCAATATCCCAGGGAAAACTCAGACTGGGGTAGCTCCTAGTTCTTTAGCTGGAAGGTGTAAATTCAATACACCACCACAATAGCAAACAAGTTGAAATATTTTTCCTTACAGGTCCTGAGCAAGGAGGGTGTAATGAATGGAGAGGGTAGTCCTCTATCCCTGGGTCATGAGAGGCAGGAATGAAAAATAAGGATCCCAGGGGTGGGGGTGGGGCAGAAAAGGTTGGGGGCAACTAGCAGTACATATAAGGGAACAGGGTATGGGTCACTTTAAATTCATGGGCAAATGCTGGTAAATCTGGGAATCCAGTCTGATAAGGAGGAGAGATGCCTCTAAATTATCTCCGGTCACTGAATTGAGAAATTGTAATTAGTGCTGTAAACATAATAAAGAACACAGAAGTTGGGGGGGGGGTTGCTATTTAAATATGGTGGTCATAGAAAGTCTCTATGTGGATGTTTAGGCCAAAACCTGAAGAGGCAGGAAGAACCAGCCAGACAAGGAAAAGATCATAGTCAAAGGAACAGCATTTGGGAAAGCCCTGGGAAGGCAGCAGGGGACAGGGAAAGGAGTGTCTGATGTATTCTAAAACACTAAAGAAAGCCAATTTGGCTGGAGCATAGGGAGTGTGGAGTAAAGGGAAAGACAGCCTAATGATCACATAAGAGAGGTAGGCACAGGTCAGATCTTATAGGATCCTGTAGGAACTGAGATTTTATGTAGTGTGCTGGGAAGCGATTTTACAGTTTTAATTAGGCTACAGACATAATTAGATTTTTATTTTTAAAAGATTATTCAGTGGCTCTGTTGGAGAATCAACTGGAGGCAATAATACAGTCTAAGTTGTCACAGATGGTCCCCTTTCCATAAAAATGCTGAATAATGCATAACATGTTTTTATTTAAACAACAACAAAAAAAGTCACAACATTTAAAGGAAAGCAAAAGAGATGTACAAAGGGGGACTCTACCTAACTATAGGTCCTGGGGATTGGGATTCATACCCATATTTGAAGACAAGGTTGTTGAAATAAAGTTGAGAACCTGGAAAAGATGGACCATGTATTAACAGAAAATGAGAAAACCTCCTACTGCACTGGAAAAGCAGTAAGGAAACTTGCTATCTTTGAGTATCTGTCTATACATAGATACATATGTAAAATATCTATCTACCTATATAGGCACTTAAAAAACTGACACCTGAGACCTGTATCACACAGGAGGGTGGGATCCAAATTCACATGATAAGCTGAAAAAAACTACCTTAAATTTGGTTTAAAACAATTGAAACTTCTAGGGCCCAGTAAAACCAACCTGTAGAGACATTCTCTCAACCCAGGGGTACAGAGGACTTCCACAGGACAAAACACTTCTTTGAAGATAAACTCCCACTAAAATAGTACA